AACCCTGGGCGATTGTGAAACTTCAGGGTTGGCCTGTGGCCACTGCTGAGCTCCTCCGCCCTGGAGGCGGCCAGCCCGGGTTAGAGTGAAGATTGTTTTTTTTCTCTTGTCTTGCCAGCTGAGAGGTCCCTTGGCGTTTCTCTCTCTCTTCAGCCCCGAGGCTCAGGAACAAATTGTATTAACTGATGGTCTCGGAGGAACCAGTCTCTCACCAGAGGAGTCTCGTGCTTTGTTCTTTTAGTGGAAATAACTTGATTTAATGCAGACTTTATGAGTTTCTTCAGGCCTCCATGACAGTAACCTCTCCGAAATGCTAGAAAAGAGTGGAAAGGATAAATCTTCCCTAAGATGTTCCTTATTTCTTCACACTGATGACAGTAACATCTGAGGGAAACAAAAATTTTTAAGCCGTTTTAAGAGAGTTTTAAATCCGGAGCAGACTTTTTCTGTTCTACTGGCAGCAGAATCTCAGTTGACTGCTTCAGTCAGATGAACAATAAAACGGCGCTGTGTGTAACAAAACAAGATTCAGTAGCCGAGGCTTCAATTTCAAACTGTAAGAAGATATAAAGCATGCATAATTTTACCTTTTTAAGTTCTAAATAAGCTTAGACTTGTTTTTCCCTTTTTCAGGGCAGACTACTGGAAGTCACAACCAAAGAAATTCTGTGATTACTGCAAGTGCTGGATAGCGGACAATAGGCCTGTATGATAATTCTACTATTAGAGATTTGCCTAATATTGTATTTACGTAAAGTGTGCCTTTTTGGTCTAAACTCCGAGTTTATAAAGCACTCTCCTATACATTGTTCTTGATTTTTCAAAACGTTAAAAGATTGCTATTCTTTCATTCCTTTTAGGAAAGCTTTGAGCCTTCTTTTTCATCAGCTTAAATTTTATTATATATTAAGCTAAATTATTTCTTTTTGGCCCTTCATTCAAATTCAGGAAATGATATTGGGTATTCTCATCCATGTTTATGAAACGCCTACATTTTGATGATGTTATTTGTAGTACTGTCATATACAAAGAGAAATAAAAGAGAAGAGCACTTAATATGTAAAAAGAAAGGTTACTGTAGTTTATTTGCTGTAAAGATAAATATATGTGATGTAGAGCTTTATGTCTATGAATGCTTAAATTTGTAAGAACCTCTCATGGAATATGAAAATAACTGTTAAGCACATTATATTACTGTATGTCTTAATCTAGGTTCAACTTTTAAAACAAAACAAAAAGCATAATTGTTTTTTTTTTTACCCCTCATGCACGTTATAATACTCCGTACATAGTACCTAAATGCTAGAGTATTTTTTTAATATGTTACATATTCATATCTTTTGCTTAGTAGAGTTGGATGCACAAAAGAATAGTAGCCCCATTTTCACCAGTGTCATATTTCTTTGGTAGATACTTATTTACTATTATCTGCAAGGAGTTCAGGGATAGTTTTCTTTTGGATTTTGTTTTAATCTTTTTGAATAGTTGCTAAAGTTCTTGACTGTCTTGTTTGATTTAGGCCATCCTTACAAATAAGTAACACAGATTTTAAAACCTATAGGAGTCACTGATAAGTCTCTTCTTTGGAGGCACCCAGGCAGTTCAGTGAACTTTATGAGTATCTAGTGTGAATAATCCCTTCTAGGATAGTCTTTCGTCATCTCCTTGAATTGCTAAACACACCGATTTAACCTGTACCTAGAAACAAAATTAATTTATTTTTGAATGGCTCTTTAATATTCTTTATGTAGTATAATCAGCTTTAGGAAACTTAATATATGATAGAGGATGAACATTTGCTTTATAAAGTCAAGATTTTAAAGAGGAATTCACAGTAGTACGTTAGAGTAGCTCAGCTAATGCTTCATGTAAAATTTGATTGACAAAACTAGTTTTGCAAAGTTGACTCAAAAATTCTTATTTCATATGACCAGGCATTTGTAATTTGCGGAGCATTTCGAGTATCACATTCACTCACCCACTTCTGTCCCCCACCTATCCAGCTACCCGTCATTTAGTTTACCACTTTTTTCATTTTCTTGTCTACCATTCTACCATTCTTTCTATTTGCATTGTTTCCATATACCATGGTTTCTATATGAATAGAGAGATAGGTTCTTATTCCAGCATCCCTAACAGCACACCATAGGCACTATCCTGCACCATAGTTGTTTTGTTTTGTTTTTAATTCAGCAGTATATCCTACAGCTCTCTCCACATTAACACATAGGAAGCTTCTTTGTTCTCTATTACAGCAGTCTAATTTTGCTAGATAGTGCCACATTGTCCTGCTTAGGAGTTATTGCATTTTGTACTATTACCACATTGTATTAAAGTATTTTACAATTTAGGAGAAATTTTTTAATGTCTACTTTTCTACCAATTTAGAGGAATAAGGTCTTAAGGATAATCGATTATTCTCTGTGTCTCTTACCGAATGTGGCAAATAGACCAGTACAAATTCTAGAGACTTACTGGTTTTGACATTTTATGCTGATAGGTGTCTCTTGAAGTTAAGATTTTTTTCCCACTCCTCTTTTGGCTTCATGTCTTGTTTGAGTCCTCGTTACAATCATATTCACTAGATTAGTCATCAAGGATACCTTGTATTCTCTCTATTAATAAGGTCGTCAGAGTTTATTTTAAGCACCAGAGGAAACCTAGTCAGAGGGCATAATAATAATGTAGTTCAGTTCTGTAGCATCAAAATTATGTTTATCTTTTCTGCCAGTGGTTTTAGTTTTGATTTTGTTATGTTCCATTCCTCTATTTATTGTTACTTTACTGTGAACATTAATAATGCTTATGTAGTTTTCCATTGTATTTTCTCTTTTTTTCATCCTTAAGAGTGTTGAATTTCATGAAAGAGGAAAAAATCATAAGGAAAATGTGGCAAAGAGGATCAGCGAGGTAATTTAGTCTCTTTCTTTTCCAATTTTTTTCACGTAAATATCAATCCTTTCTCTAACTTTCACTTGTATATGCGACTTACATAGATTAAACAGAAAAGCCTGGATAAGGCAAAGGAGGAAGAAAAGGCATCAAAGGAGTTTGCTGCAATGGAGGCAGCTGCCCTGAAAGCATACCAAGAGGATTTGAAAAGGCTTGGCTTAGAGTCAGGTAAAAAGCAGCCAACATGTTTTAAAAGTAACATCAGAGGTCATGCTAAGTGTATAGCATTTTATTGTTGTGAGCTTTTATTGTTTCCATAAAGAGGTTATACACTCAGGGTATACTCTTAGTGCTTTTGCTATGCATCAAAGCCCTATTTAGACCGTGGGAGTTTGCTCATGCACCTTTGTTTGCTTTTAAAAGCTTTGCATTTTAACACCTCCATTTACAACTATACTACCTTGGCAGCTACCTACCCCTAGCTCTGTGTTAGGTCAGTGGTTCATTTCAGAGACATTTGAGTTTTTTAGATATTCTAATTATTCAGCTGAAAGGAGCTATTCATTAAAAGATAGGCCTTGCATTATAACCACAGTTGACTTAAACCATATGGTCAAAATCGAATCGTGTTTATTTATATGGTTGAATTACAGTGAATTAGCCTTTTGTGGACAGATTAACTGACTACTGCTAAAAGGTAGATAATTTTTTTCTCTTTATTTTTAGGGTTTTTAATTGAATATATTCGGCATATAACATTGTATACATTTAAGGTATACAGTGTGTTACTTTGATGCATTTATATGTTGTAATATGTTTGCCTTTGGAGTGATATTTATGTTGCATAATTATAGTGCAATATTGTTGTCTGTATTTATTACACTGTGGCTTATTTACTACTTGTGCAAGTTTGTATCCTTAAACAACTTCAGTCTTATTTCCCCACCCAACATTTCCTGGTAACTACCATTTTACTTTGTTTTTTAGGAGTTTGACTTTTTTAGATTACGCATATAAAAGGTATCACATAGTACTTGTTTTTCTTTGTCTGACTTAATCTCACTTAGCACAGTGTGCTTAAGGTCCATCCATGTTGTCACAAATGGCAGGATACCCTCCTCTTTCATGGCTGAGTAATATTCCATTGTGTGTATATACCACTTCTTTTTATCCATTCACCTATTGATGGGCATTTAGGTTGTTTCCAAAGCTTGGCTATAGCAAGTAATACTGCAGTAAACACAGGAGTGCATGCATCACTTGGAGATTTTGTTTTTCATTTCCTTTGGTTATATACCCAGAAGTAGAGTTGCTGGACTGATGATAGATCTATATTTAATTTTTTGAGGAGCCTTCATATTTTTTACCATAGCGATTGGATCAATTTACATTCCCACCAACAGTGTATAAGAGTTCCCTTTGCACCACATCTTCGCCAGCAAGAAGGTAGATGATTTGAGGGTTTGAGAATAACTAAAAAGCATCCTTTAAGTAGAATAGACCTTGTCATTGAATTTAGGCTTTATGTTGGGAACTTTCTGTGAGCATTTCTTTCCTGACAAATCCACTGTCCTGAATCCAGGCATGTCGCAGATCTCAGTTGTCGATGTTGGGAGACGGTCGACAAGGAATGGCGTTCTTTACTCTCTAATAAAAACTGCTTTCAATTAACTTTTCAGCACAATAACAGTTAAGTTAATTGACATTGCCCTCATCAAATAACAGTTGTAACCAGACTTGAAAAATATTTTCCGGGATATCATTAGTTAAAATGGGAGAGATGGTACTTCCATAAGAATAAAGCTTTGTGTTCATTTTAAGGGAAAAAGGATGTAGGTACTCCTGTAGAATTAAATAGGAATAGTTAAAAAATAATCTCATCAATTATATAGATTGGGAGATTTCATTATGTTCCCCTTCGAGCAAATTTTAGCATTTTATATTTAAATGGATTTTTCCTATTAAATATTTTTTATAACCTTGTTTTCCTGAATAGGATATATATTCTTTTAGAAGGTACAACAATGCAGTACAAAGAAAAGAGTTTTTAAAAAACTGCTTTTAAGATTTCTACAGATACCTTTACAATTTTTTAAATAAAATACGCATTGTATGCTGTGATCTGTTTGGAGATTTTTTTCCCCCTCAGTGATATGTTAAATACATCTTTTCTTTAAAACAATTAAGGATATACATCATTTTTAGTGGCTATGGAGTGGTTAGGAGCACACGTTTGGAGTCAACCAGAATCGCATCTTGCTAGCTGTACGACTTTCGATTTTTACTAAAATTAAGTCATATAATGGTATAAATTCCTTTTTACAATGATCACTTTTGTAACAAATGTTTTAAAAAGGGTATAAAACATAACAAAAAGGGAACGGGATTAAGAAGTACAAATTGGCAGTTATAAAATCGTCATGGAGATGTAAAGTATAGCATAGGAAATATAATCAAAAACATTGTAATAACTGTGTGATGTCAAATGAGTACCAGGTTTATCTGAGTGATCACTTCATAAGTTATATATATGTCTAATCACTCTGTTGTACACCTGAAACTAATATAATATTGTATATCAACTAATTTGAAAAATAAATTATTTTTTTAAATGCCATAAAAATGCCAAAATTTATTTAACTAATTTCTTCCAGGTTATCATTTGGGTTGCTTAGAGTTTTTCGCTGTTAGAATGCTACAGTGAGCATCATTACGTATGCATATTTTTATCTCTTTAGGTTCAATTTTTAGAATGAGATTGCAGAATTAAAGTCTGAATATATTTTATATATTGATAGTTAATACCAAGCTATCTCCAGAAATGTGTCCAAAGATACACACTTTTGCTAGAAATAAAATCAATTTATTAACTGGTGCTGGGAATAACTGGCTAATAATCCTTTGGTGGAAAAAGTAAAGCCCTAAAAACTACCCATTTTTTCATACCCATGAATCAAACTGACTAACACTGGATTTGTCATTCTTTTCAGTACTTATTGATCTAATGCAAAAAAATTATTTGCATTTCTTCGAATATCAGTGAAAGTAAATGTTAATTTTCTGAATTACCTTTGTGCTTTTTGCCCATTTTTGTTACAATGTTAGATTTGTAAGGGATCTTTGTTAGGAACATTAATCCTGTTATTTGTTATAAATATTTGTCATTTGTTTTTCTTGTATATATTTTTCATTTTTATTTTCGCTATATGGAATATTTGAATTTTTATGTAGTCAAATTTAATATCTTACGTTGTATTTTTGTAAATATCTTCGATCTGGAATTTATATTGGTGTAAAAACATGGAAGAGACCGGGGCGTGGGAAATAGCTTTACTTTTTTCCAGGTAATTAACCAGTTAGTTCACTGTCCTTTATTAAATGATCTCTTTTTTTGTCTACTAAGAAGCACTAGGAATCTACAGTTGGAGCTCTTTCTGTACTGTTCTGTTTCAATCATATCTTTGCTATTCCTGGACCAGTTTTACATTGTTGGTCTTTTTTACAATAGTTTTAGAATGAGTTTTAATACCCAGTAGGATTAGATTCCCCTTGTCACTTTTTAAAAATTCTCCTAGACATTTGTACATGTTTAGTTTTACAAATGAGCTTTACAATAACGTGTCACATTCCCAAAAGAATCTTGTCACACTTTTGCTTTGGAATAACGTTATTAATGTTTTATTCCCGGGGTGGGAGTGGGGGGCGGGATTTAGATTGTCTGCTTTACCCTTCTCTCATCTTTTCTGTAGAAATTACAGAGCCAGCCACATCACCAGTAACCAGCACTGTCCCACCCACACCCACCTCTGGATCAAATCAGAAAGAAAAGAAGAAGAAGAAAAAAGACCCTTCAAAAGGCAGATGGGTAGAAGGCATAACCTCTGAGGGTTACCATTACTATTATGATCTCATCACAGGAGGTAAGTCAATTAGGGAGAAAACTGTAGAGAATGATAACTATTTTGTCTTTGGACTTTCAGTTAATATTGGAATATTTAAACAGTGGAAGAGTATATCTTTACATTTTTGCCACAATGGTAAAAAAATTGTATGCCCTTTAAAACGGTGCCCTTCACATAGTGACTCAGTGTCATACTTAGTTAAAGCCTTAATAGTGGGTTCCTTACAAATAAACTAAAGCTTTGTATTTTCTCATTAAAACCTTCACAATTATGAACGACATGTAAATAAAGCATTTTACATGGAATGAAGGCATTTCAGATCCACTTCACAAATTGCAGGGGTTCTTGAAATAAAATATTCTGTGGAAAAGATTTTCTGTTCAAAAGCAGATTGGGAACCATGATTTCTTTTCTGTGTAGCTGTCTTGATTGACCTAGTAGAGTCCCCCCTTCCTATTAATGTTTTGGATATTAATTTCTAAGAAAATACACAATAGTGTTTCTTAGTAAGAATCAAAAACATCTTATTTTCCTTCACTAAATGTATTTGGGATTTTCCATATAAATTCTGAGATAAATAAATGCATTTATTATACATTTATGTAGCATCTTACTCTCCAGAAATAGAAAATTTAGTATCAGAAATAAACAACTATATACAAGGAGGAATTTTAAAGAGCTATAATATAATAGAGATGTAATTAAAATTATATGGGAACTCAAAATACTGAGGAATTAACTGTGATTATGCGGATCTGAGAGATCATCACAGAAAGTACTTTTGAGCTGATCTGTAAGTTAAAATGAAGACATCAGGAATGATGGCATTTTACCGTTTGTATTCCTAGCACAATGCCTGGTGTGGCGCAGACACTCCATAGGTGTTTCTATTGAAAAGGACTGCAGTGGGTTGTTATGAGGGTGCAGCAAGCATTCCAGACAGGTCGAACAGTATGACCCAAAAAAAGCTTCAGAAGTTTGGGAAATAGGCATCTGGTGGACGTAAAGCCTAAGGTTCTCTGAAGATGACATGGGAGAAGAAAGGCTGGGAAGATGGATTGGGACCATATCACGGAGGGCTGGGAGAATAGGTGACGGTGCCAGCTACTGAGATATGAAATGTAGAAACAGTAAGTTTTAGTGAGACAGCGATGAATTCAATTTGGGGTAGGTTGAGGTTGAGATACCTATAGACCATTCATGTGGCAATTTTCAATAGGTAATTGATGGTTAGAGTTGGGAATTGGGGAGATAAATTGAGTCTGGGAATGTAAATAATATGTTAACTTTCAGGAGTATGTGAGATCACAAAGAAAAAGAGAACAAGAAGTAACATGAGTGAGAAGTACATACATTAAAGGAATGGCAAAAAGAAAAGTCAACAAAAGAAAATTAAGAATGGTCAAGAAGGCAGGAAATGAGATCAGAGAGTTAATCATGAAGAAAACCTTGGGGTCTAAGTGTTATTGTAATTATTATGATCTTTAGAACCACAGTCAGTTTCAGACTACATAGAAATAGTAATAATCACTGAGTTTGCACTGAGCTTTCAGTGAAGTGCATGTAATGGTTTACAGTGAACCATATATGATTATATACTAGAGATTATAATTATGTCATCTTCAATTTTACATAGAAACTATTTATGTCTTCCTTCTAGTGCTACTGCTTGTTTCTTTTGTTCACTAGCCTACTTTCTCAGCAACACTTGATTTTAATTCCTGCATACTTTTATCTTATTCTTCCCTTGAGTCATTCATTCCATCTCTCCTCTCCCCCGGCCCCCCGCCCCGCCCCCGCATCGAGATGTCAAAAGGCTATCTCATTCCTTCCAAATTTATCAAGCCTGCATTCCGCGAAGTCTTTAAGAGAGGCCCTATCTGGCTCTAATAATTCCTCTGGAAGTACCAGTAACTTCTAATCCTTTATTCTGTCCTTCCTTCTCTTAGGTAGCAGTCGTGTATTCTTGTGTGCAGTACTCCTGGGATGTATGTTGGTCCTTTTTATTTTTCAATTACGTTTATAACTATAGACCTGTAATGTTCAGTACACACTGAATACCTTGTAAATTTTTGCCAAATTAAATTTTTTGGAAAGTTGTTTTTTTTTTTAAGCAAAAATATTTTATAAATACAATATATTTTGCTTTAAGCATCTCAGTGGGAGAAACCTGAAGGATTTCAAGGAAACTTAAAAAAGGTAACTGAAGTACATTAATAGTGTCTTTGCTTCTGTCTTTAAAATGATTGGCTCCTGGGATTTTTATAGAGTATTATTAAGCACATTTGCTTCCAAATAAGCCCCTACCCACCACCAACAGATACTTTGTTCTTGTCTTCCTATAATCCTTTTATTAGAAGGCTGGGTGGAGCTTGAAAGTGGTTTCTACCCAAAACTCCATGCAGGGCAAATATTATTAGTTGTCATTCACATGTCCCTGTCCATCTGAGAATTATTCCTGGCTTTCAGAAGTGAGACATTCTCCCCAAGAGCTGGCCTGTGATTAACACAAACTAAGCTTCCTGGGCCATGAGCGGTACCACCCGTCCTAACTCTCAGGTATAAGAGGAAAGGAAAGGGTCCCTAACGCTGACTTAGTTACCTAATACATAACCTCATCGTTATCTGCAGTTTATGCTTGTTTTTTCCTCCCCTTTAGACAGCAGCAAAGGCCATTTGGGTAGAAGGTTTAAGTGAAGACGGCTATACCTATTATTATAATACAGAAACAGGAGGTAGGTCCTTTGATTAACTATCTAAAATTGTACCTGAAACTGCTTATTAGCCTGCTGATGAATCACCTGAACTAGAGAATTTTAGTACATATAGTACCTATAAAGAGTCCTTTTTGCTTTCTCTACTATTACTGATTTTTATCATAATTATTTTAGAAATACATTCATTACCTTAGAAGGTACCTTGGAAGGCATCTAGTTCAACTTGTCGTTTCTTTCTTGAAAAAAACCAAAACCGATGCTATTTTAGCAGTGGCTGAGATCATCAAATTTTCACTTTTACTAATTTCATAACGTTTTAGTTACATAAATATTTATAAAACATGCATAATTATTGTTACCTAATTGTTTTTCAGATTAAGATTTTATCTAATTTAATTTCATAAAACTGGTTTTAAGGTATTTGTACTTGGTTTCTTCTGCAGTGAAACCAAAATAACTATAGTTCTGGTGTAACTTTAGCGGGATATTTTTTGCTGTTGCATTTTTTAATTCCTGCTACCGAAAGCCCCCCACATGGCATTACATTTTTTAGGCGGAAAAAGCCCTTTTAACCTCTAGGTAGATACCTTGTTTCCCCAATGATAGCAGTGGCCATCTTAGTTATATTGAGGTACTGAATCCTAGAGATTGCGTTAATATATAATGTAGCTCTAGAGCTAGATCTGAGCTCAGTGCACAGCTTCCTTCCTTACCTACATGATTGTGGGCAAGTCACTGAGCCTGTAGTTGCTCTTCAGTAAAATAGAGACGATCATGTACTCAGGGGCCCGTGAGAGTCAGGTGTCTACGAAGTTCTCAGAACAGTGCCTGGTACATATTAGTGCTTAACAAATTATTTATTTCCTGAGAATTTTTTTGTGTGAGACAGACAAGGAAAAGTAGTGTTTTTCATTAGTACTGGCAAGTATCCTATATTAATAAGGGACTGTACATACTGATTGGTCCTCAATAGTTTCAGTTTATGTCTAGACCACTGTAATTGTTAATAGAGCCCCTTTCACTCTAAACACTGTTCCAGTTGGACAATACATATTAGAGTCTCTTTCTCTTTTATTAAACTAAAAGTAGGTAATAACTGAAAGATAATTAGAAATGCCATCATTTCACTAAAAGCCCAATAAACCACTGGGTGGCAGTAGAGTTCAAGCAAGATTTTTTTTTTCTGACTGTAAAAATGACATATTCGTTCACATTTTTACAGTATGATTTCATTGTATGAGGAGCCCAGGAAGTTTTTGTGCTAAATAAACCCCAGGAAATCTGATGTGTGCTCACTATTACATATATTTCCTGAAATTGGTGTCAGTTAAATCATGAGAGTCCTTAGAAAATATTGCCCAGTTCTTAGGTCTCTTTCCATCGGGGCTGTAATTGATACATCTAGTGAATTCAGAGTGTTTGAAATCAATTTCTGAAAGATACAAGAGCTTACAGAAGTCTTATTATCTTATTATCAAGGATGGTATGAAATAGATGCACTGTTGTCATTTCACATAAGTGACAGGAAGCATTATATTGGGAATTACTTCTGAATTGAATTGGTAACCAAATAACATGACTATTAAAATGTGTCGAATAGAATCCAGATGGGAAAAACCTGATGATTTCATTCCACACACTGGCGATCTGAGTTCTAGTAAAGTCAATGAAAAGGCACTTGGCACCGTAGAAGAGTCCAAATCATCAGATTCGCATAGCGGCTCTGATGGGGAACAGAAAGCAGAAAAAGGAGAGGTCTCCACACAAACACCAAAGCTAAAAATAAAGTTTAAGGTAGGTTCTTGATTTACTCTTTACAAAAGTTTATCAATTTATAAAAAACTGTACAGACTTCAGTTTTCTGGTAGAAGATAGACATAAAACCAAGACACATATTTTGGCAACTGGATAAATAGTTATACCATTTATTGATATCTGTTTGGTAGCAAGACAGTAAATTCATTTTTAGACCTGAGTTTGAGATACCTTGTAACATTTAGAAAGCTATCTGAACATGCCAGTCAGAATGTCTAGGCTGCAGATGCTAATTTGAGTATCATCAGCTTTCTGGTAGTAATTTAAATCTCAGAATGGGTGTGGGAACCTAGGAAAATGACCTTGGGGAACATTAGACATTTAAGTAGCAGACAGAAAGAGGAGGCCACAAGGTAGAATGAGAGTGATTAGAGGTGTACAAAGAAGCAGAAGAGTTTAATATTCCAGAAGCCAAAGGAATAGCATTAGGATTAATTAGGCCTAGAAAAAGAAAAACGTCCATTGAATATTTCAGTAATGAGGTCCCCACTGCCTTTCTAGCAGTTTAACCAGGATATTGGGTGGCAGAACTCAGATTACAGGGGAATGAAAAGTGGCTCAGTATGTGGTATATGTGTTTGGATATGAAATGAAGGTAGAAATTAGATGGTAGGATGGTGGCTACCTATTGACTCTTAACCATGGGAGATTTGTGGTGGTATTTCCTTTGAGAGGGCCCCAAAGGAGGTAGAAAAGCAATACCAACAAGGGTAGGTGGATAGGTTGGTCTTGAACAAGGAATAAATTCATTTTCTGTAAGGTTTCCATTATCTATAAGAAGGTATGACTACAGACGAGTTGGCGTCAGGGAAGAAATTGAAAGTCATGCCTTTTAGCCTCAGTCTACTCATTCATGAAGAAATCAAAATTGCTTGCTGAGATTGAGGAGCTTCGGGGGTCTTGATGATATTGGTGAATTGAAATCGTCACTGAACTGGGGTGGGAGTGGAAATGAGCCAAGAGGATTGGCAGGTGCTGCTGAGGGCCCAGCCGTGGTGTGAAAATAAAAACAGATGTTTATGTAGTATTGCTAGTCCTGCTTTTGTGACCTTTCCAGGAACACTCAGGAGCCCAGGTGCCAAAGCATACAGGACACACAGCGTTGATCCATGGTTGAGATTGCTGGCCTGCGCGGTGAAGGGATGTCAGGGATGCTGGAGAGAGGCTACTTTGAGGCCACAGCTAGGATCTTGTCACTGCCTGGATTTTCTGTACCTTCACCATAAGTCTTAGTGGAACTGAGGGTGAGGGACGTATCCAGCTTGTAGAGGAGCAGCAGCAAAGATCTTCTAGTAGTAACCATCTCACAGTGTCAAGTTTAGGTAACCCAGCATCCGTCCTGGGACAGACAGTAATTTTAAGCAAACAAAATACTACAAAATACAGATAAGCAAGGACAAATTATCTGTAATCCTAGCATACGTAACTTTAGGTAACTAAACACAGGCAGACCTTGTTTTATTGCGCGTTGCTCTCTTGCGCTTCACAGATGGTTTGTATTTTAAAACTTGAAGATCTCCCCCCCGCCCCCCACCCCCAGCAGTGGTCTGGAACTGAACCTGCAGTACCTCCGAGTCTGCCTTTATAGTGAAGACCAGACTCGTTGGCTTGGAAGCTCACAGAACTGAAGCTAGGGGATTTTTAAGCTCTAGGATGACAACGAGTTTGAATAGAGAGAACATGGTGCCAGAGTTGCCACATTCATTGTGAATATGGAGTCGTGGCCAGAGGTCATTAGATCATAGAAGGAGGAATAGAAGAGAACTGTATAGAAAGTGGTGGTAGGAGCCTCACAGGAGAAGGCATTTATTGCACGAGGGTCAAAGTAAACAAGTATGATGACCTTAGTAAACATGTTTTATTTTTTAAAGAAGTGATGGCCTGGCAGCAGTCAAGACCTGCGAGAAAGCGGCTGCTGCCTCCTAGTCCTGCGATACCAGCAGCGCGAGGGAATGAGTTAAAATTCGTGCGGAGGATGGCAAACAAACCGTGTCCCAGGGCTGCCACCCACGGTTGTGAAGTTTGCGAAGAGGCAGAAATCTAGTGCATGGTCCACTTGCTAAAGTGGGTCACAAGGCTCGTTATCCCAGAAGAGGGGTGCCATAAAAGCACCAGCACTAGCCAGGGACTCCTGTGGGAGCTTCGACCTCCACGGTGTGTCTTTCTCGTTTCATGTAGCTATCAGTTGTACAGGCCACTAACATTCTGGTGATGTCCTCAATGTGAAGATGGCTTTTAGTTATGACTAATAGGTTGAGGAAGTTGTTTAGATAAAGGGTTCAGAAGGGTCCAGTGACGTGGCATTAAATTCAAAAGGAGCACAGTACAAAGGAAGGTCACCACTGGATGGATATGTAAGTAAGGAGAGAAAGCAGCCAAGAGAAGAGAGAAAAAAAGGCCAGCACATGTCTTTAATTGTAGAACATTATTTTAAAAAGCAGCCTTGACCATGGTATGTTAACGTTTAGGGGTAATGAAAAACCTAATCAGGCAATGAAATTTTTTTTAATATACATTTGTTGTATTATGTGCACATTTAAACTAGTGAGTTAATGTATCGTTATTTATAAATCAATGAGACTATGTTAAATTTTATTTCTGTCTTGGTAGTGTGTTATTTCTTTACTTTGAATTTTCAGGAAAAAAATAAAAATAGTGTTAAAGGAACTGAACCAGAAAAACAGAAAGAAAAAAATATCCAAGAAGAGAATTCATCAGGTCCAAAGGAAGAAAAATCCAAAGCTCATAAAAAATCAAACCCCTATGGAGAATGGCAAGAAATTAAACAGGAAGTCGAGTCTCAGTAAGTACCCGCAGCGCAATCCCGCTGTTGTGACAAGGGTTTTATACCCCAGCACTTCTGTAAATTGCAGTGACTACTTGGAAGGATAAGGTGTTCACTAAAAGTGTAGCTCATTTCTTTTATTTCCAGAGTGGTTTTATTTTTTCTAAGATTTTAAAATGTGAGTTAATGATTATTTTTTAAAAGTAAGCTAATTATTCTTTTCATTCGTACTTAAACGTGACTTTTCTGTTGACCACACGTGTACACACTAACTCGCATTTTGTGCCCGTGACATTCTCACACTCACCGTCATTGTTGTATCAGAAATGAATATCTGCATGGTCAATAAACGCTGCGTATGATACATCTAAAGGCAAGAAGAAAGCTCTTGTTACTGTCTCGAAAATGGCTTATGACCCTTACCAAGGTTTTTAAGCCAGTTTCAAAAATCAGAGCAGTTTTATCAATTAAACAAGGTCATGGGGAGATGTTACCTGCTTTATATTATTAATTAGCTTGTGTGTTCAAATCTGTTATTGTCTTAGGAGGATTTACACAAACAGGAAGATGCCAGCTTCACAAATTAGTGTTTCTTAAATGCTTAAAAAATATTTAGGTGGGGGAAAAATGTATTTACATGAGTTAAGCAGTTATTCTCTAAAACATCAATGTTTTGAAATGGTAAGGTAAGATGACTACTCTGTCGATACTTTTTTTAAATTTATTTATGGTGACATTGGTTAATGAAATCCAATAAGTTTCAGCTGTATACTTTAAGGCATATATATTTACACTGTGTGTTCACCTCCCACAGTTAGATTTCTTTCTGTCACCACATATTTGACCCCCTTTACCCCGTCTACCTCCCCCTTCCCCTCACCCTCTACTCTCTGGTAACCACTAGTCTGTAGTCCACGTCCATGAGTCCTGGTTGTTTGTCCTGTTCATTTTCAATACTTATATAATGAAAGTATTTATCGTTAAAACTAAACTTTAAAGAATAGTTCACTTTTTTCACAAGAGAGTATTGCAAGTTTTGGACAGCTTTACGCACTGTTCTAATTAGAATTGATTCCCTAAGGATAGCACACTGTAAAATAGCTTAGAACTGCTATGAAAATATTACTATTATTATGGAATGTTCAATGTTACTTAACGAAATATTAGGAAATATGTATGTAATGTGACATGGTGCCAGGCACTGTGATGATTACTTTGACGATATACATTGAAGTTTCAGAAATAATAAGACAACACTTCAGCCCTAACTGATTTCTTAAGTGCCTTACAATAGGAAAGTGGTCCTACTATACCAATATCTCCTTTACTTCAAAGTTGAGATTTTTCAAATACTGATTATCATTTTCCCTTGTAAAGCCATTCTCGTTAAATTTTAACCAGTCAGCCAGTTTAGTATGTGATGGATTGCGTCTGACTTCCTAAGTAGATTAGCCTAATTTCTTAAGGGCTTTTTCCTCCAAAAATAACTTATATATGTTCATTATTGAAAATTTTTGAAAATAAAGAAAAGCATAGTAACTCATTCAGTTACCCAGCGGTAATACTAACATTTTAAAGTATTTTCCCCAATTTTCACCTTTTTTCCTACTTAGCATTATATTATCAATATTCTATTTTAACTTTTATTTTTAATTGCTATGTAATGTTTAATCATTTACACGTGCATTGATTTTACTCAGTCATTCATTCCTTTTCTGTTCACGTTTAGGCTGTTTCTGCACTTTCTGTTTGCGTAACTAACTCATCAGGGTTGTCAGTCCACGGTTTTCTTCGCTCGCATTGTCCCGAGCGGGCTTTGCTATCAGGGTCACACTGGCTTCTGTAACGAGTTTGGGAGCTTTCCCTTCCACTGTTTTCTGGAGGGGAACTGACGTTAATTCTTTAACTAACTGTTCGGTAGACTTCACCAGTGCAGCCGTCTGGTCCGGGGCTTTTACGTGTTGGGAGGTTTTTGAATACCGGTTCAGTATCCTTAGTTGTTACTGGTATGTTCAGATTTTCTGTTTCATCATGACTCGGTTTTGGTAGGTTGTATGTTTCTAGGAATGTTTTTACTTTTTCTAGGTTATCCAATTTGTTGGCATAGTAGTCTTTTATTATTTGTATTTCTGTGGTATCAGTTGTAATGTCTCCTCTTTCATTTCTGATTTTGAGTCTTTTTTCCTAGTGTAGCTAAAGGTTTGTCAGTTTTTTCTTTCAGTAAATTAGCTCTTTAGTTTTTTTATCTTTTCTATTGTTCTTTTGGTCTCTTTTATTGATTTCTGCTCTGATCTTTATTGTTTCCTTCCTTATGATAACTTTGGGTTTTGTTTTTTTCTAGTTAGGTGTAAAGTTAGGTTGCTTGAGATCTTTTTTAAATGCCAATAAACTTCTCTTTTAGAACCGCTTTTACAGCATCCTGTAGGTTTTGATATATTGCATTTCCATTTTCATTTTTTTCATTCAGTCTTTTGATTTTCATCTGGTTTTCTCTTTAAACCATTAATTGTTCAGAAGTGTGTTAATTTGCACATATTTATGAAATTTCCAGCTTTCCTCCTATTACTGATTTCTACTTTCTTACCATTATGGTTAGAAAAGATACTTAGTGTGATTTCAATCTGCTTAAATTTGCTTTGTGACATATCATATGATAAGTCTGTCATATCAGTTTATCCTAGAGAATGTTCCATGTGTGCTGAACAATGTATGTTCTGCTTTTGGGTGGAATGTTCTGTATATATCTGTTAGGACTATTTGATATTCAGTATGTCCCAAGTGCAAAGTTTCTTTGTTGATTTTCTATTGGATGATCTGTCCAGTGTCGAAAGTGGATTATTGAAGTCCTCTACTATTATTGTATTGTTGTCTATTTCTCCTTTTGGATCTGTAATATTTTCTTAAAATATTTAGGTGCTCTGATGTTGGGTTCATACATATTTACACTTGTTATATCGTCTTTATGACCCCTTCATCATTATATAATGACCTTTGTCTCTTGTTTCTTGGTCTGTTTTGTGTGATGTAAGCATAGTTACCCCTGCTCTCTTTTGGTTTCCACTTGTGTGAAATGTCCTTTTCCATCCCTTCACTTTGAGCCTATGTGTGTCCTTAAATCTGAAGTGAGTCTCTTGTATAGGCAGCGTATATCTGGTTCTTATTTTTTATCCATCCAGTCACTCTGTGCCTTTCGATTGGAGAATTCAGTCTGTTTGCATTTAGAGTTATCTACATAAGGACTTACTGGTGCCATCTTATTGTTTTCTGATTGTTTTGTCCTTTTCTTCTCTATTGCTGCCTTCCTTTGTGAATTGATGATTCCACACAGCTGTATGCTGATTCCCTCTTGTGACTGTTTTAGATTTTTGTTTTGTGGTTACCGTGACGCTTACATAAAACATCTTATATATATATATATAACAATCAGTGTTTTACACTGATAACAACTTTAATCACATACAAAAAGTATCCTTTTACGCACCCCCTTTTATGTTTTTGATGTCACAGTTTACATCGTCAGATATGTGTCCATTAACAAATTGTCTTAGCAATTCTTAATTTTAATGCATTTGTCTTTTAACCTTTACACTAAAGTAGTTAACACCACCTTAATATATTTTTTTATTCTGAATCCGACTATATGCTTACCTTTACCTTTTTTTTTTTTTTTGTATATTTTTATATTACTTCTTAAGACCCTTTCGTTTTAGCATTTCTCTAAAGGCAATTTTAGTGGTGATGAATACCCTCAGCTTTTTTTTATTAGAGAAAGTTTTTCTCCTCTGGACTAGTCAACTGAATACTTTTGCTAATCATGTGGATGATCGAAGGGCCAGCTCTGCAGAAAGCGGGCGCTGGGCAGATAGGTGCGTGGAGTCTCCTGCTCTTGACATTGAGACTCCCTAGTTTTCATCTTGTGCTGTGTAAGCCCCTGGAGTCTTGTCAGGCCATGGCAAAATCATTTTCCATAAACACATCTCACTTATCCACCTGTATAACTTGAACTGCTAAGCACATGTAAGCACAGGCATTTCTGTAGATGATACACGCTTGGCACAAGAGGAATAAGAGAATCAATGGGATTTCCTGACGTGCCCACCTACGTAAGTGCTCAGTATCTTCATGTTAGAAAATCAGTATTTTGTAATAGTTTCCCACTCCAAAATGACCAACTTCTAACTTCTCACTATTTTCAGAAAGATGATCTTGGGAATATGGAATACCCACCAGTTATGTGAAAATGTGTCTTAGTCAAGTAATGGTTTTATTTTTGCTTTCTATTCCAGTGAGGAGGTAGACTTGGAACTTCCAAGCCCTGAAAATGAATATGTATCAACTTCAGAAGCTGAAGCTGGGGTACCCAAAGTAGTTTTTAAAGAAAAAACAGTCACTTCACTTGGAGTCATGGCAGATGGAGTGGCCCCAGTCTTCAAAAAGAGAAGAATTGAAAATGGAAAATCTAGAAATTTAAGACAACGAGGTGATGACCAATAACTGTAAAAGAGCTTTTTATACCTGCTTTTTGGACAGAATAGAGACTCCGCATCTTAAAAGCTTCTCTGTTATTTCTAAATACTTTAAGCTAAAAATTTAGATTTATTCTAAATGTATTTTATGTGAATTTAAAATAAATCTTTTCATGTGAAATTTATTTTTGTTCCTAAAATGGAAGCCTACCACATTGCATTGTAATACAGTGTATTATGTTCAGTGTCTAAAAAATGCTAATTATGTCATAAGATGCTATGTATCTGTTATTTAAAACATAGAAAAGCAAGGCCTTTATTCCATTCTTGCTCGTATGAACATACCTTCACTGAAAATGCATTACTTTTGCACACTGTTATTAACTGTTATCCAAGACGTGAGTACCAGACCATATAAGAGAAGATTCACAGCCCAGTGATGATTCAGTTCTGAGGATCCTATCGGAAGGCTTATGTAGAAAGTGTATGCATATTGGTTTATGCCACTCAATTTAAGGTCAGGGGCCAAGAATAAGGACTGCAGCTCAGGTACGTCAAATGCAGTGCTTAATATAAAGTGCACATTGGATCAAAAGCAGAAGTATGTGCCAAGTTCAGTTCCAAGCCACAACCATTGCTTAAGCGTCTTTCCTTTCAGCTAGGCGTTATGCTAGGAGCTGGGGATACAGAGAGAAATAACACGCATCCCTAGTCATGACTTCACGTTCTAGCATAGTCCTCTTTCCAAATGTCTGCACTCCCGTAGCAGCCGTATGTGTACTGGGAAATCTTGTTAAGGTGTATTTAAAACAATGTAGATGAAGGCTCGAACAAGAATAGTGAGGTCTCCAGCTTCAGCAAAAGTTTCTAGAGTTCCCTTAGATGAGAAATTCCCTGTTTTCCGGTTAAATTTCTTTAAAAGTAGCATTTTCTTATTTAATCCATTTGAAGTAGATACCTTCCCTTTATTACTCCAGATTCTTTAAATTATATTTTTTATAAATTGTACAATATTTAACATTGGGTAGTAAAAATTTGTCTTTTAAGTTTACTAGTGTACATGTAAGAAAATGATAGCTTATTAAAAACTATGAAAGTAAATATTTGGGGTTTTTTTTAATATTGATCAGAATCAATTTAGCATTGGTGAGATAATATTTGGAGATTTGTCTTTACATTCTTCAATTTACTTAGGTATTTCATGAATATATAGCATCGTGAAGCATTTTAGATACAGCCCATGTGTCATCTAGCTAAGCGATGCATTTTGTTGCCTGACTGTCCTCAGTTGGAAAAGGTGGTAAGACTATAAATGGAATGCTGCCCTATTTTACCTTACATGTTTGGCTTATACAAAATATACAATTGAAGACATTTAAAACCACACTTCATCATGTAGTGTTTCTCTCTGATGCACTCTTTAACTCTGTTACTTTTGTAGTAAGACAGAATTCTTAGAATTTGAAGGTGAATCTCCTGAAATAGTACCTTTATTTTTGATTTGAAAGAATAAGAGAACCTATCAACTTACTTAGATTTTTTCCAGAAGTTAAATTCTCAATATGATTATTTCTATGATTATCTTCCTATTATTTTATATATACTTGTATATATGTATAAATGGGAGATTATAAAAGATTTTTATTATAAATATAAAAATCCAAATAATAGAGAAATAAAACAGTCCCAATAGTTTCTGACCCCTCCCCTATGACCACTGTGGGGTTTTTTCCCCAAAGCATGTTAACACTGTGAGTGTATGTGGTACCATTATAACACCTGGATGAAATATTCAAAAAGGCATGATCCAAACAGCCAAAAGTGATTTGGGTTTTCCAATGCAGTTTTTATAAATTCTGAAAAGTACTGGGAGAAACAACCCTAACTGATTTTTAGGTATTGAAAAACCATCATAATTAAAAATAATATGGTCTTGATCACATCTAGGCATATTACATAGAGTTTGTTGTCTGTTACTGTGACTGTACCACACTAACTTCATTGTGTTTTTTGTAGTATATTTTAACATCTGATAAAGCAGATACTACCTTTCTGTTTCAGAATGTTCATATCCATTCATGATTTCAAGTAACATTTTGTCAAATTACCACCTCTGCCTTCCCTCAAAAAACTTACTTCGTACCATACCTACTGAATTGGTAATAATGCCATGTTTCTGACACTGATTATTCTCGTTTATCAACATTTTTATTTAGTCAGTTCTTTTCTATCTCGCTAAAGTTTTGTAGTTTTCTCCCTGTGGGTCCTAACATTTCTTAAAATGTAAACTTACTGAAGGCTTTGTCTGTTATTGCTCACAGATCATAAGTACATGGCACATTGTAAGCACTTCATATCTGTTGCTTAGTGAATGAATGAGGAAAAATAAGCAAAGAAGGAAACAGATAAAACTGCAACTGGAAGTCACTTTTCACCAGATTCCCAAAGATCAAATCGTTTACCCTTTTCTCGTTTGCCCCTAGAATACTTGCCGGCAGTAGTTGGGGCTGCAGCATTCACCCCAAGATGAGTCACGATTACAATCCTAACCTTAACCCCAACGTTTGCCACGAAATACCTCCTTTTATTATTTTCGTATCGCTCGAGTATACAATAGTCTTTGGAAACAAATGACATCATTCCCTATAGAGCATTCTGTTTTTAGTAGTTCGATCGCTGAAAATGTCAAATCCTAGAAACGCGTTCCTACACGATGTTGACACACTGGCAGTGAGCTGCGCTGTTTTTTTGAAATGGGAAAGAGCTTATTAATGTTTGCGAAGCTATAGGAGTATAAGTGGTCTTATACACTGCTCGTTAAAGTATTTGGTCTTATACACTGCTCGTTAAAGTATCTTTTTGTGGTGTTTTGACATCTTAAAAAGCTTGCTGATCAGAGAGAGATTGCCCCTTCCAGGGTTATCCCATGGCAAAGGGCTTGTCCCAGAGCATGCCTTTATACAAACCAACCAATCCTGAGTCCATGGCCTCAGCCATGTCCTTATCTAACTCAGAGAGACAATCTTTCCTCAGCCCTAAATCATCCCAGGGCCGGACACCAGGCAGCTAAAGAGATCATGCCTCTATCCAAAAACCCACTGGAATTACTCAAACTAGCCAGTCCCAAACTGTTGACTCTGCCTTCCCTTGCCTTCCGTATACAAACCAACCAATCCCGAGTCCATGGCCTCAGCCATGTCCTTATCTAACTCAGAGAGACAATCTTTCCTCAGCCCTAAATCATCCCAGGGCCGGACACCAGGCAGCTAAAGAGATCATGCCTCTATCCAAAAACCCACTGGAATTACTCAAACTAGCCAGTCCCAAACTGTTGACTCTGCCTTCCCTTGCCTTCCCTGCAGAAACTCCAGTGAAGCCTTTGGCCTAGACTTAGCCCTCACTCCTATCTTTCAACAAAACCTGCTTCTTGCCCTGTGGCCCTGTGTGGCATGCAGTGACCTGAGACCTGTGGGTATAATAAACTTTCTCCTGAGCCTCATTCCCATCTCCACGCTACCGTGCCATATCCAGCACGCACATTTGTAGAACAGTAGGAATCGATACAACCTATAGAGAGCAATTTTTCCAAACCTCGAAATTTTAAATTTCGGTATGTTGTTAACCCACACACATGAGAAGTGACGCGTAAAACCGATGTAGCGTCACTCCCAGATCGGACATTAGAAACCACCTTAAGGTCTGGCAATACAAAACCTGTTAAATTAAGCACAGCTCCATGTGTGCTTTTATAAATTGATCTGATCTGCAAGATACACGGTGAGGTAAAAGTAGCAAGAATTAGAAAAGGAAGAAAAGGGCACTGGATGAAGAACGTTCTAGTGCCAGAGCGACTTATCGTCAATCAATAACTCGAGCTAGTTATTTCACCTCTCTGTGCCTCCATTTTCTTATCTGTAACACTGATGTTTTTTCAGAGCAGTTTTAGATTCACAGCAAAATTAAAAGGAAGATACAGAGGTCCTCTGTCCCCCCTGCCCCGCCCCCATGCAGAGCTTCCACCATTATCCATATACCTTACCAGAGTGCGACACTGTTACAAGGCAGCCAATCATAAAAATTATAGCATGATCTATACAGTCTATGTGAGAAAACTCATTTTCAAGCACAACGGGAAGACGTATGACAAAACGTACTGAACCCAACCTGGGGCACGAAAGAAATATTAAGTCTGAATCCACAAAGTCTTAAGTTATTCCAGTTACGAGATGAGAGCGAGGCGAGGATCTCGGTTGAGCATCGAAACACGAGTCCAAAAGACAGTGATCTTCAGATACAGAGAGAGTGAGCGAGGGAGTGATCAAGAAAATGCACGAATGTTTTACTTTGAGAAGTTAAGTCTTGTTGTCTTTGAGTATTTCTTTATATACAGAAAAACAATCGTGCCTAAAATTTAAAGGTATATTATAACTTCTTACTCCCAAATGTATAATCTATTTCCAAACCTAGAAAACTTCTACAAGACCTCTCCATTCTCCTGAAAGTAAATCCATCTTTCCTCCCATCTAGCATTAAAAAAATAAATTTTAAATGATTACATAATACTCTGTTTTTCTAATTCGATACAACAATATTTGTTTTGTTGCAAAGTACAACATTTTTACTTCATTATGGGCTCTTGTGCTTCATGGGACCCACCTCAATCCTGGCATCGCATGGAGCCTACCAGAATTATTATGTACTTATCTACATTATGGCTTATAATCATTCTGTTGCTTAAAGTCAGAGGAAGTCTTCAAACTGAAAAGCATTACCAGATGCAATTGTTTAATGAAATCATTGCTGACCCGATTTTTTTCAATAGCTGGTATGGCTGTCATCTGCACAGCTGTTAGTAGATGACGCTGACAGTATAGTGGTCCCTGCCTTATCAGCAGGGGAAGGAAAGGACCAAACGCTGTACATACTACACTTCTTCCTATACATACACATACCTTTTCACTTAAAGGAAACACGTTAGAGCTTCTCTTTGGCATAGCTGCACGGCCAGCATCCCTGCTCTTGTGCTTTGGGGCCATTATTAATAGGGGTGACTTGAACACATGCGATGAGATACTACAACAGTCGATCTAATAACTGAGATGGCTACCAAGTGACCGAGGTGAGTGGCATGCACGCCAAGGGTACACGGGACACAGGGACGATTCACATCCCAGGGGGAACGTGATCACGTGACTCAGGAGAGCGCATAATTTAAAACTTAATCCATTTTCGGTTCAGGAACAAAAAGGGCCGCTCGCTGCCAGTGTTAATTTAATTTTACATAAACACACTCTTTGAGGCTGAAGCAAAT